TACCAGGCAGGGCCTCGTCTCGACGATGCCGGCGCAGTGTTTCATCCGACCATCCATCCGGCGGAGTCCGCGGTACGCTGTGCACTCGGCACAAGTGCACAGCGCCCTCACCTGGTTTAGCCCGCCGGTCGAGACGGTTGCGCGGGGTGTGGCCGCTGAGCAGAGCCCAGCTACGTGGAGCCACAGGTGAGAGTTGGGTGCCAGCAAATGGACGCTAGGTGTAGTCTCACCTGCAAGCAAGTGAGCGACCACTACGACCATCACGTGAACCCACCGCTGGTCACCCCTACACCCCATCAGCCACATGGTCAGTTATGCACTGACATTTTTGATGGAAATGTGGATATCTAGCAAGGACAATGTCTACGTATGTCTGAAAGTCGGACCCAATATTGACATTTCCTGAGTGCACGTTTCCAATTAACGCCAGACAAACCCCGATCTAGCCCGTGTGTTGGTCCAGCGCATCTAATGCATGACCGATCTTAGGGACACTGCCATTGTTCAGGGACGTACACACGCAAAGATTGCGCACGCCACTGACTACCTGCTGCCAAGGTCATCTAGGGGCGCATCTACTCGCATTCAGCGTTCGGCCATCTGGCGAAATCTGTCAGTTGCGTCATCCATCCAGCGCGATCGATTTTCTCTCGCCAGACGCGCATGCCCCCTCACGGTCCAGGGGCTACCAACTCGAGGTGCGCCCCTGATAACTGACGTCCACCTGGTACGCAACAAGAAGCAGGGCCTTCCCACGTAAACAGTGCCGATTCCGTTAATCGTATCTCTGGTTGCAACTAAAGCACAATCCAGGGTTATGTTTGAGCATGCATTTTCTTAAATACCCTTGACATCATTCATGTGAGCTCGTCGTGCTCGGTGAAATCTTTGCTAAGCATAAATCCCGAGACAGCCCAACCGCTAAATCTTTTTCAGAGGAAGAAACGGATCACTTTTCTGCTACGGAGACAGACAGCATACCTGCCGCCAACATCTTCCGTCGACCGACTACTAAGGAAGGTAATGTTTCATGAAATATCGGGTCAAAATCACATATGCTGAATACCCTCACCCCATGTTTTGTACACTTTACACCCTTTGGGTGTTTTTTTTAAATTGGGGACACCTGACATCTGGCGGTGAGAACATCCTTACCCAAACGTTTAATTCTTCTTAAGTTTCATATCCGCTGGCGGCAATGATTTCTCCCCAAAGCCATGCATTACTCCCGAAAATGAGGTACCGTTTCATGAGATATCGGGTCATAATTACTCATGCCGAATTCCCTCAATAGTGAAGGCCGAAAGCAACTCACATGAGGGTGGGCCACATTTGCTTTTAAGACTGAGACAACATTTCTTAAGATGCGGACCAACGTGACTCAATATCTTGATCACCTATGGCTACATTGAGCTTTGGCGAAGGGTTAGCTTAATTCAGGGCGGCAGTCGCTGTGAGACTGAAAAGAAGATCGAGTAGAGAGTGCGTCATCCTCTTCTTTCACGGGAATCGATGCCCCACTCCGATAACACGCAACACCAGCACGCATGAAATCTGCACACACGAAACACCACCCAGCCAGCTCCCTCCCTCCCTCCGCATCGGATCAGTAGATTTTAGTGCAAATCGGTGCAGCCAGAGTGGCGTGATCTGCTTGCGCCTGTCACTTGGTTTGTGAATAATGAGGACAGGAGCCCTAATGCAATGAGTGTAGCATTCGTCAGACGAAATAAAGAGCTGCACGTTTGCAACCAGCTCGCGGGGAATTTGCCTGACATATAAATTTTGTGCCATAACTGAAGGTAAAACCACTGTATATTCTTAAATTGCTTATCCGTCATAATCGAGAGCCTCTTCAGTTTACAGAATATATTTCCTAAAGTCTTACGTATCCACCTCGATCGAACTGTATAACTTCGGTGCCACGGTGGGATTTGAACCCACGACAGCAAGGGTTTAACTATGGCAAGTAGTCCATATCTCCTTATGTTGATTCGCAAGGCGAGCCTATTGCAGCTTGGCCGACTATTGTTGATATTGCCGTATTAAACTCAAGTACACAGACCAGCTATTTTAATATCGATATGAAATACTCGGCGTCTCGATGGTGTCCGAACACACGACAGCATGGGGAAGCCTTAATTCAGCCAACGCTCTAGTCACCTGTGCTAAGAGGATCCACCGGAGGACGCTGCAATAATCGTATCTGCCATAATACCTATGAATTACGTGATACTCGTAGACATTTGGTGGATTCCGGAGGTTGCACTAGATCGAACGCGTAAACTTGATTTAAATGTGATTATACTTGCGTCGTCCGGTGGGGCTTCGTATCTCAGGTGGCTAGAACGTTGGCTGTAATAAAGCCTCACATTGCTGTCGTGGGTTCGAATTCCACTAGTTAGGCTTAGGAGCAACTTCGGAGACCTAACCTGCTCATTTTTCAGAATTTAAGCTTTCTTAACAGTGTTATTTTGATGTGAGGAGCATCTCTCGATCGCTGGGGCGAAAATAATGTTCACTTGATTTCCTCGATCCCTTTTTGACCAAGGACAGCAACAAATTAAATTTGTGGACGCACATAAGGTGACATTTTTATAAGCTGCAATTCCTATGCTACCATGCGCATGTTTATAATGATAACGTCCGCATTCACTGTAGCCATTCGTTATTCGTTTGATGATTTCCCGAGTTCAGATTAGCAAACGTAAGAGATCCTGGTCGGAATCTGAGGAAAGGGAAGTGCTCAACGGATCGGGTAAATTGTTTGGCTGACGTTTCCAAGAACATGGCGGCCCTCCATTATCAAATCACCTAGTGCAAAAATCGATCCGAAATTCGAATACGCAGCCGAATTATTTGGCCTTGGGCCGATCATTTTTTTTCTTTTTTCACTACCTTGGCCTACCAGCCGTGGTTTGTGAGTGTTGCTGGCCTCATGTGTTATGTGTCGTCACCTCAATTATTGTTAGTTGATATGCCGATATGTTTAAATTGTGACTCTTTACGATCTAGCCGTTTTTTGAAGGCTAAAATCATCCTTTGTTTTAATAACTAACACTGGCAATTCGAGGACCTTGGGAACTAAGATTTTTGGTAGAAATGCGGTTAGCCTGGGAGGCTGAATTCAACATAATGTTGACATTTGCTGGGTACACGTTTCCAGCGCATCTAGTGCGTGACCGATCTTAGGGACACTGCCATTTTCAGTGACGTACAAACGCAACGATTGTGCACGCCGCTGAGGACCTTCTG